TTGTAATAGCATTTCATAATTTCTCAATTTTTGGCGGGAGTCCAAGTTTCGCATTTACGTTGTTCCAGTAGCTTTGCAGCAATCTGTCCTGGTTCCTCAACAGGGTTTGCTAAGCCCTGTAGCCCATTTGTCACCAGATGTCCAGGAGCTGTAACATCTGATGTGGTTCTTGTTGACCTGAGTGACGGCCGATCTGGTATGGATTTCTCTTAATTTCCTCTCATCAGTAGTGATGGTTGGTGGACACAGTTGATCTGGCTTCTCAACTGAGACCTGTCTGGTTTGGGAGACACTTCCGGTAGCAACACTACCACTGGCATAGCTTTCAACTTCACTGAAGCACACAAGCCCCTCCACTTCAACAACGCCTTTGTCCATGGAGGGGGAATAATAATGTGTCACCAAGTCAATTCTGACTTTTGGTGACACTTTCCAGAGTTTTCCAGATAGAGAATACAGAATGATTTACCATTCCTTTCTTCTGGGGGTGCCCCTGGACTGAGCAGCTTGCCCAAGACCACACAGGCTAGCTGTACTCACAGGAGGCACGATGGGGAATCAAACTCCCAACTCTGGCTCCACAGCCAGGTACCTTAAACCACTGAGTGATGCAGACAGCTATTTAGTTACCTTTCTGTGTATTTATTCTGGTTAAAGGTATATATTTTGGTGAGGTTTTTGAGATGCCTGTTTTGTTTGCTCCTGTGGGGTGGGGGGACAGGGAGGAGGATTTTGTGATTGTACCAGTGTGCGACTGAGCTATGTTGGTAGTTATTGTTGTTGGGTGGGCAGGCACAGCTTGGGGTATTTCTCTCTTGTTTTTCTTAGTGTTGTGTAGTTTTGGTGAGTGGTTATCTCTGTATGCCAGCACCCGGCTGCTTCCTTGTCTTTTTTTCCTATTGTGTGCCCAGGCTTAAGAGAGTTTTTGTTGTGCTGGATAGGTGGCACTCAGCTCACATTGTTGTTTTCTTTTCCTTTCCGTTCTTTCTTCTTCTTTGTGTGTTTGTGTTTACTGCTTTTTGAACTGGTTGGTATGTGATTGAGGTATTTTCTGCTGTGTTTGTAGGCCTGGTAGTGCTGGAATATCTTGGCTGAGGGACATCTTTGTGTGGCTTTTAGTGATGGTGTGTATTAGGGGATGAATATTGCCAGTGGCTTTCTCTACAAATGCCTGCAGAGGTCGGTGATTATTTTTCTTTCTCATGTACTGTTGGCTTGTAAAATAAATTGGTTCTTGCCTTGCTCTCATCTCTGCTTTTTTTAAAAAAAGTGTGCTGCTTATATACCACCCCATAGCGCTTAAAGCACTCTCTGGGTGGGTTACAAATCAATTACGCAGGCTACACATTGCCCCCCCCCCCCAGCGAGATGGGTACTCATTTTACCATCCTTGGAAGGATAGAAGGCTGAGTGAACCTTGAGCCAGCTACCTGGGATTCAACCCCACATCATCAGCAGAGTTTGGCTGAAGTGCAGCAGTTTATAAGTCTTTAGTGATTTTAGAATGCTAAAGAACAAAAAACAGTTGGAGAAACACAAATAGGAATGTAAAAAAAGGCTTTTCTTTATGCAAAAACAAAAGGACCAGTCCACAAAAACTTACAAACACAAAAGAGGTAAAAAAATGCAATAAATACAGTGGTGCCTCGCATAGCGAGGTTAATCCGTTCCGGATTAACCTTCGCTATAGCGAAACATCGCTAAACGGAATAAAAAAAGCCATAGAAACGCATTGAACTTCGTTCAATGCGTTCCTATGGCTTGAAAACTCACCGTTCAGTGATGTTTCTTCATAGCGCCGCCATTTTCGCGCCCTTGTTAAGCGAGGGCAGGGCGCGAAAATGCGGCGCAGACCTTCCGGCGGCCATTTTGGAACCGCCGATCAGCTGTTCTCCCCGGCTTCGTTATGCGAAGATCGCTAAGCAAATCGCTTAGCGATCTTCGCAAAGCGAAAAAACCCCATAGGGGCCATCGCTGAGCGAATGCTCCAGCAATGGCCCAGAGTGCCTCGTTAAGCGATTTCATCGCTCAGCGAGGCACTCGTTAAGCGAGGCACCACTGTACTTAAATTTTTGCCTGCATGTCCCTAGCAGCTATTCACCACTGTGCTTTACGCCATTCACCAGTGTTACCAACCCAGAGAATTCTAGCAACAATTTTATTTGCATTCATTTCCTGTTGGAAATGAATTTCAAATTGATTCTAAAGATAAATGTATAGGGCTTTTTTGTTTGTTTTTCAAGACTGCATGATACAGTAGCTATAACAAATGGCTGCATCACTTTGACGTGAGCTATGCACTTGATTTGATTGAAGTTGCAAGTGTTAAAGGTCAGCTTACATTTCATGACCTTCAACCAGTGTTCTTCCTGGCTTCTCTTAGCACACATGGACAATCTTTTTGTTGACCTATGCAGAAGCATCATGACATTTTCAACCAAAGGTTGCTGAGAGAGCAGCTATTCACTAAATTAGGGATAGCGAGCTGATATTTATTTATTTTTAATACAATATAGGTCTTGCAATCATATTGTCCTACATCTACAAGCAGTTAAGGATATGCTTTATTTTAATTTTAAATTTGTATTGTGGTGACCTTTAGTATTCCAGGTATGGGGTGGAGAAGAGTAGAAGTGAGACCAGTCTCTTTACTTGCTATGGTGGCCCTCTCAACTACAGTGGTGCCTTACTTAACAATTACCTCGTTAAACGTTGAATCAGCTTGACAATGAGGTTTTTGCGATCGCAAAAGGATGTTTCAATGGGCTTTTTTCGCTTCCCGACGATCGGTTCCCTGCTTTGGGAACTGATTTTTCGCATTACGACGATCAAAACAGCTGATCGTCGGGTTTCAAAATGGCCGCCCGCTGTGTAAAATGGCTCCCGCTGTGCTTTAGGATGGATTTTTCGCTTTACAGGCACCCAAAAATGGCCACCCTATGGGGGATCTTCGCTGGACACTGAGGTATCTAGCCCATTGGAACACATTGAACCGGTTTTCAATGCATTTCAATGGGCTTTTTTATTTCGCTTGACGAGGATTTCGCTCTATAGCGATTTCGCTGGAATGGATTATCCTCGTCAAGCGAGGCACTACTGTATTGAATTAAGCTAGTGTGAAGCAAATGTTTTGCTAAAAATTGAGTGTGGTTCAGGGAGCTCAATAAGCTCCCTTTACTGTAATTCAAGCACTGGAAATCTGCATAGAAGTGGTGAAGATTCTTATAGCAACTTAAAGACTAACAAGTATCATTTAATATAAGGTTTAGTGCATTCTATCCTATATCTTAATGTGTGTGCTTGAGTCCCCAAAGGGGTATGCAAAATAAACCATGCTAGTGTGTAAGACACTACCACCTCTTTGTTATTTTGCTGTAACAGAGTGGCATATTCAGTTTTTTGGATTTTCATACCATGTAGTGAAAGCTAGGTGAGGAACAGAGTAAGATACGTAGCTAGTTAAATAAATAGACCCTGCTTGTTGCCAATATCTGCCATAGCAGACACTATTTTGTCTTGATGCTTTTCCCTAGGTCATATTTATGTGTGATGAAGATGATGCCGGCGAACATTAATGTGGTTCTTCTTGCTAGTTGTAAGGTCCATAGGGCGAATTGGGGTGGCATCTGTAGTGCTCAATCTCAGATCTACACAACTGGCATCAGTGGTGGGACCTGTGTATTAATAAAGATTCAGTTTAAAAGCTTGAGCTTTCATTCTTGGCACCATGTTGTGATAAAACAAACCTCCCTTTTGAACACGTCCTCATTCTTTCAGAATGACACACTGTCTTGGATAAAATCCTGTGCCTAAAAAAAAAAATAATTCATTGCACTTTTCTGCTACCATAATCCTCATTCTTAAAATACACTAGGATGAGAAACTTGCTGGGATTAGTCTGTTTAAAGAAGCAAAGTACAGTAATTGCAGCGCCTAAACATGTATTGTATGAAAATGCCTGTCTTGCAGAAAGGTAGCATATTTGTTCATCTAATGCTTACGGTATATTTCTGCTTTATGTTACTTCCCCCACACACACATTATATGATGTTCATTATTAATAATGTAATGGTTAGATGACTGGCTGATGATCCAGGTGCTAAATCATAGGAGCAAATCAACTTCTATTGCAAACAGTGCATGTAGTATTTACTTCAAAGAAGAAAGCGTCTATTGTGGTTCCATGTTGTAACTCAGAACAAATAACATTTCAATTCACCTACTTCTTAGCATATAGGCCATGGTATATGAACTGAAATTGAGCTAGAATGAAGAGAAGGGGTTATTTTATCAACATATTGTGTACCGAAATTGCCCTGCACAGCGATTTTGTGGGGTGAGTGTAGAGGAGGAAAAAAATCATTAAGCAGTAGTAATATATCCTGGTGCACATTAAAATGCCCTCTGCAAGTACTCCATTCCCCACATCAAGCTGTTGGGTAGGAGAAACAAGAACAAATTACTGGCTGTTTCATGCCATTTTTTTGTTTGTTTGGAAACCATTGTTCTTAATCATGTTGGCATGTTTGCACAGCCAGACTTGACTACATAATAACACTGCTGTTAACTGGGAAGGATGGCTGTTTTCAAATGGGAAAAATAAACAAAACTGTCAACGTGGTACCTAGCAGCAATATCAAACCAAAATTAAGCTTATTCTGAGGTCTTTCTAGAATCATTTCTGTTCCCCAAAGACCTTTCATGAAGAAAATATTTGTACATTTAGTGCGGCCCTAATTGCACCAGTTGACCCTGCTGCTGGTGAAATACTTCCTAGTGGCCTTTTGTACTGTAATTGCTCATTTTTCTCCATGGATACTATTAACTTTGTTTACAGAGTGTCATGGTGCTGTTAAATGGATTCTCCCCCTTGACCTTCTCTCAAAGTATTCATGACATAATCAAAATAACATTTATGTTTTGACAATATCATAATCCTGTTAGAGATTTTGTGCCATTAGCTTCTTGTTCTGACACTGTTTTTTTAATTAATGTGACAGAATTCTTTGACAAGAAGTTGTCCACTTGCTAACGATTCTCAAGGACGGAGTAGTGCCCGATTCCACACCTCTTACGACAAAAGATACGTCATCAAAACTATAACAAGTGAAGATGTAGCAGAAATGCACAATATACTCAAAAAATACCACCAGGTAATTTGTTGTTTGTTTTAAGGGGATGGGATAATAAGGAGAAACACATAGCTGAAAGTTTGTGTATTGTTGCAGAAAGCTGGACTCTAACCTAGATGTTTTGCCAGTGAATGAGAAGTTGAATTAAAACTTTAGCTCATAATGTGTAACAAAAAAATATTGGAAATAAGGCATAAGAATCTATTAAGACGTGTGCTACAGTTTTTGTTCTTTGCATGTATGTTAGAGGAGTGTCCCCAATCTTTTCCCAATCACGGACTGGTTTGGGGTGTGTGTGGCATGCTCGCGTGGGGGTGTGGTGCACCTGCAGAGGGGTGGAGCATGCTCACGCACATGTGCACGGCAGTGCTCACGGGGCCGCTCATGCACATGTGTACAGCATGCTGGCAGGGGGGAGTGCACTCACGCACATGCATGCAGTGGCACTCATGGGGGCGCTCACAGGGGGCCGGAGATCTGTATCTACAGCCTGGTCCTGCCTAGGCCAAGGAAACCTCTGCTGGTTCGCAGACCAGGGGTTGGGAACCCTTGACATAGAGTACATGTTCAAGAGAAACAGGGCTGAATGTGAATAATTACATTTTGATCATTCATGCTAGTCATTTATTTAAGTGATTTGTACACCACCTGATTTAGTGTAAACGCTGCTCTGGATGGTTGACAATAATAAAAATAACAATCATAACTAGCTGCTAACCCCAATCTGCCACCGCCCCAGTCAAATCCCAAACAACCGAAATGCCACAGATTGCCAAAACACATAAATAAACACATAGATGCCTGACAGACAATCTGTGCTCCTAGTTAATGCAGAATGGGGGAGACAGAATCTCTCTGAAAGCTTCCTTGAAGAGACTGATTTTTAACAATTTCTTGAAGGCTGGGAGGGAGGGGTCCTGATGGATCTCTACAGGAAGGCTGTTTCTGAGATGTGGAGCCACTACTGAGAAGGCTCAGTTCCTTGTGGATGCCTTTTTTGTCTCCTTCAGAGTGGCCACCCATAGGAGACTGGTCTGGGGGGTTCGGGTGGCACAGGCTTGTGTTCCCTTGCTGAAGCCACATCTTCTAGCTTCTAAAGTTGTTTGAAGATAATTTGTTGGTTTCAGTGCTTATTTGACATGCTGCATCCAAATGTGGGCAGTGCAGTTTAACTTCCACACACAAAACAAGCATAACATCAAAGATGGCAGAAGCCCATGCCTTACCAGCATGAGGTTATGAAGAAACTAATGTTAGGTCCACCAATGCTTTTAGAAGCACACATTGAAACATTACAAAATGGCAGCCATTTACAGCTGTTTTGGGCAGGAATGCAAAATGTATTGAAAATGATATGATGAAACCAATTATGGTGCTGAGAAGACATAATTAAAGATGGGGCCCAAATCGACACATCTGATTTAAAATGGAGATATATGGATTTCACACAGTGACAGTTTTTTCTGGAAGGCCCAGGAAATCTCTAGCTTGTTAGGTCTGAGGGGGTTCAAGGCAAGAACAGAGTCTCCCAACTCAAACTCTCTGTGCCCTCCCCTCTGGCATATGTCACAAGAAGAAATCCCCGCCTGCCAAGCCGGTTTTACCAGCCGAAGAGCAGCTTCCGTTGCCCCAGCAACTACAAACCGCTCCTTTAGATCTTAACAGTCCAAAAGGGGGAGAGACCGTTGTTCAAATGATGGGTACAAATGAGTTCAAAAGAGACCAAGAAAACGACCCTTCTTTAACAGCCCTGCAGGCGCAAGCTGACCAGCCTCAAGTGCTGAGTCAAACCAAGCCTATAAATTTTTTCTGGGACCAGAATGGTCTACTGTATCACCAGTTTGCCCAAGATTTTAGAGTTGATTTAGAGCAGTTTAGTCAACTCATGATGGCTCAGCAATACGGGCACAAATACAGTGGTGCATCGCTTAGCGATCGCTCCGTTGAGTGATGAAATTGCTTTGCAATGGACTTTTGGCCATCGCTGGAGCGATCACTTAGCGATGTCCCCTATGGCTAATATTCGCTTTGCGATCATCGCGGGGAAGCGATCATGGGAAAGCGAACTATCTTAAACAGCTGATTGGCGGTTCCAAAATGGCCACCACTGTTTTGCCTCGCTTTAGAGGCACCCAAAATGTCCGCCGCTATGGCGGAATTTCACTTTAAGGTAAGTTTTTAGCCCATAGGAAAGTATTAAACGCGTTTTAATACGTTCCTATGGGCTTTTTAACATCGCTTAGCGATTAAATCACTTAGCAATGTTTTTTCCAGAACGCAGAGAGCCTGTCCAGTAGGCACTGTGGAAATTCAGATGTAACAGATGGTTGAAGACGTTTTTCTGATTTACTGGTTCCTGAGCATAACCAAAGTGTGATTCTGTTTTACTACTAACATGACTGTTTCTATTTTCCAGACTTCTAGAACTGCTTAACCCCAGAGTTCTATATTGAATTGCTGCTGATAGGACTTATTCTACCTCATGCTTTGCTAGTTAGAAAGCATAATTAAAATTTGCCATTTATTTCATTGTATAACTTTAACATAGAGTCAGTGAAATTACTAGGCAAAAATATGTAACCTAGCTTTGGTTTAGTCAAAAATGCAGGCTCACATGTAATCCTGTATTTTTGAAATTTAAGGGGCAGTTTGTAGTTGCTCAGGCAACAGACGTTGCTCTTCGTCTGACAAAACCAGCTTGGCAGGCGGGTGCCCAAGACTCCCTAAGGAGCGCTTAGCACTCGGTCAGAGAGTTCCACAGGCCATTTACCTACCACCTTTGTGCTGAGGCAAGTCCCAAGACCTCAGCAGTGCATAGTGTAAGCCCCTTGAACAAGTCTGACCTTAAAAGAACACTCTACTTTTGTCCACTACTTTGCAAGTACTTTACACATGGGCTTTGTGATACCTTAGAAGTCAAAACAGCTCAGTTAGGTAGGAATCTTAAAGATAGCTAGTTTGTCCCCCTTTTCACCTCCTGGATTTAGCCAGCCCCTGCTGTTCAAGAGACCAGTCCTTTTGTAAGAATTTTTATAATAATATTTAGTAGAAAAATAGAGTTTCATAAAATCAGTTTATATTGCTCAAGCTTTATCATAAGGAACATATTCAAAGATTATTACTGTTAAATAAAATATCTAATCCCCATTAAAATAATAAACACTAGTAAGCTGGGCTAAGGTGAGCTAACCCCACCTCCTTCCTTCTCTCCACTTACATTCTTTCTCCTTCAAGCCACATACCCGGACCATCAAATTCTTTTTCTCTCCCATCATCATGGAATAGAACTTCCAAATTTCTTCCACATAACCCATTGTCCATTTTCTACATTATCTAACTTCTCCCCTCTTCTTGACACTTCATGGCTGTTAACCAATTAGCCTCGATGGGCTGTAACCCCTTCCTCCTCCTCAATTCCCATGAAAGTCCAGGTGTTTTATCTCTTCTCCAATTAGCTCGGAATGTTGCGTCTTCCATGTGTTCCTTTGTTCAGCCTTCATCTTTATCTCAAACAATGCTGTACCGATCTTCAGAAAAACACTCTCATTGCACTTAGAAAAACACGTTCCAATGTCTCTCAAATCATCTTCACACAGAACCTGTCTGACTCCATCTTACATTTCTCTGACTACATATCCCACACTGCTTCAACTCCATGACACCTTTGATCTTACTAACAACAATTGTTTGTGTTTTATAGTTTCATTTACCCAGATATATTTAAGAGGAGGTTGCACTGCTAACGTTTTTTTCTCTTGGTTCTTTGGATGCTGTTTTTTTGATCTAACTAGTTTTTATATGAACAGTATCTTGTTAACAAGTGACATTGTGTGCATCACTGTGGCTTCTCACTTAGCAAAGCGCTACCTATTGTATGCTGTTACTAGAATGTACAGTGGTGCCTCGCACAGCGAGGTTAATCCGTTCTGGATTAACCCTCACTGTGTGAAAGCATTGCTGAATGGAACGTAAAAACCCATTGGAATGCATTAAACATGGTTTAATGCGTTCCAGTTGGGCCGAATACTCACCGTTCAGCGATGCTTCAGGATGGCCGGCAGCCATTTTCGCGCCCTCCCCTCGCTTTACGAGGGCACGAAAACGCTGCGCGCGGCCATTTTGGGGCTTCTGGTGGCCATTTTGTAGCCGCCGAACAGCTGATCAGCTGGTCACAAAGCGAAGGTTGGTAAGCAAACCACTTACCGACCTTCGCTCTGCGATTTTTGCCCTATGCAGGCACCGTTTTGCGATTGCATTTGCGATTGCAAAACCGGCCTCGTAGAGCGAATTCATCGCTCTACGAGGCGCCCGTTGTGCGAGGCACCACTGTACATGAATATCTGTAGGCTTCTGCTATTTTTCTTTCAAAATATACAGTATTCTATTATGTATAATTTTGTGACCCTCAAATTATAGGGTAAGATTTGTGAATAGCAAACATTTCTGTTTGGACTTTTATCTTTTTAATTGGTTTGTGAAAAGTAATTTATTTTACTCTAAAAACCACATCAGTGTCGTTTTTAATGATGAAGTGCCTGTACCTAGCACTTATATCAAGCTTTAAATTGAAGATTTTAGGATTGGTAGAGGAAGGTATTACCACTGCAGTTACAATAGAAATAATGTTCTGATAGCTAAATACTGTAACCTTGTAGATGCAGACATAATGCACCAGATTTATTGAAGGTAAGCTCCATACAGGAACAAACATTTACGTTCATTTAATCCAACCGCTTGCTCAGTGAGGGATTATATCAACTACCATGACATTGACAGCTGACCCTCTAGCTGCTGCTTGAACACCTCAAGCAAAAGGGACCCCACCATCTTCTGGAGGAAGCTATTCCAACATCAAATAGCTTTAGAAGGTTTCTCCAAGTATGTAATTAAAGTCAACTTTCTTGCCATTTCCACCTATCAATTCTTGTTCTGCTGTGCAAGAATTAAGGGTCCTGGCTTTCACTGAGTATGATGAAAATCCTTTGTATTACTATAAAGTAGAAATTGATTTTTGTTTTTTT